TTGGGGGCTAATTCTCGCGGTAATACACTTTTTTGGCACAGGCTCCAGTGCAGTGCTTGCTGAATGAAGCCAAGTATCAGTCGCATGTCAGGGTGGGTTTGTGTCCGGTCCCGGTCCGGTTCGTGTTTGGCTTCGTGTCCGTGTCCGGTTCGTGTCCGTTTCGTGTCTAGTTAGTGTCTGGGTGCGTGTCGGGTTCGTGTCGGGTTCGTGTCTGGTGCTTGTCCGGTTCGTGTTTGCTTCGTGTCTCGTTCGTGTTTGGGTGCGTGTTTGGTTCGTGTCCGTGGCCGTTTCGTGTTTGGTTAGTGTCTAGGTGCGTGTCGGGTTCGTGTCTGGTGCATGTCCGGTTCGTGTTTGCTTCGCGTCCGCTTCGTGTCTCGTTCGTATCTCGTTCGTGTCTGGGTTCGTGTTTGGTTCGTGTCCGTGTCCGGTTCGTGTCCGCTGAACGTGTCTGGTTTGTGTCTGGGTGCGTGTCGGGTTCAGTGTCTGGTTCATGTCCGCTTCGTGTCTGGGTTCGTGTTTGGTTCGTGTCCGTTTGACGTGCTTGGTTTTGCGCTTGGTTAGTGTCGGGTTCGTATCTGGTGCGTATTTGGATCGTATCTGGGGGCATTTCGTTCGTATCTGGCATCGAATTTGGGTTTGTGCCTGCTTGATATATTAGATACGAATGCGATATGAAATAAATATGAATAGAGATTTATTTATTCGACACGATTTTGACATCCGCTCGGATACTGATTAAATTAATTAGGACGAAAAGGCTACGAAGATACGAACTTTAATCATGAATTAGATTTGAAGATAGATACGATTTAAGAAGTCGGATACGAAATACAATTCGATAAAAATAATGATTGAAAAACCTCGAAATTTCGATATATATATATATATATTCATATATATTTATTTATTTAGATGCTCGTAAATTGAAAATATTGGGAGAATAGGTTTTATTTAATTTATATTATTTAATTCAATTCATTATAATATCTAGAAGAAATTTGAGTGAAGGAATTTCTTTGAGTAGAGACTCCCATATGGGAGTCTCCCAAATTCCTGGTCTTTGTCTCGACCTTCATTTTTGACAGATTTAAGGGCTCAGATTCGTGAGGATTATTATTATTAAGAGAATATCATCTTGAAATAATTTAGTCTTTTTTTAATATCGTGAAATTTCTGAAATTTGAAAAAATTCCGAGATATCAATATTCGTAGAGAATGATGACGATATTAGTATTATTAGGATTTTTATCATACGAAATTAATAGAAGAGAGGTTTTCAGAGATTAATTCAGTTATATTTTGTTTTCTATTCTTTAGAAATATCATAATATCTTATATTTATATATATATTTATTCTTGATTGAATTCCGACATTTATCGAAAATTCTTTCTTCTTGATAAGAAATAATAAGAAATGATATTTTTAATTTATATATAGATAAAAATCATCAAATATATGCTACCCTTTTGAATAATTTCCGCGGAAATACTACGATAGTACCGTCAATTTTCTTAGATTTAGAATTCTATTATATGATCTAGGCTTGATATTAAATTATTGAAATTCGGACGAGATGATAGATATATATATATATATATATATATTCATATTTATATATTTATATATCTATCATAGGCGCTTTCATTCTCAAATCTTATAATCTTGGATATAGATATATTAATATAAAATTTCCTAATATATCATTTCTATCAGAATCTCCTAATCTTAATATGAATACGAGTATTAATTCTTAATATAACCTAAAATATTATTACAGACAAATTCCAATAAAATAGATACGAATGATCGCCAATATTGATTCACTCCTATTCCTAAATAATAAAGCATAATATCCTAAGATTTCCCTTGCCGTCAGATCTTATACTAATGCCAAGGAAAATAAAGATTCATATCTTAATTCATTTATTTAATATATTATGCCGTCCTATAATATCAATATATATTTATCTTTATATCAATGCTTATGCCGAATTGAAGGATAATATATGATTAATATAATCTCATATATCAACTTGATTTACCCGTGATAATATCAAGGAGATTATCGCTCCTCCAAGATAGATCTTATTCTCAAATTCAAAATTTCTTATAAGCTATTCTTTGGGTCAGATATTTCTTTCCTTCAATTATAATTTTCAGGATAGTATTGATCTCATCAATAAATTAGTGCATCCAGATAGAGGAAAAATTTCCATCCCAATCTCTGAAATTTAAAGCCATGGCATCCCCGTGATCGTAAAAATTAAAAATTATCCAATTATTTATATCAATAATTTTCATCAATACCATATTGAACTATACGAATTTGACTCTATTAAGAATCACGATCTTTATTATTTTCATTCTGGGATTCTCTAAAAAATGATCCTTCGATTTATTGGAATTATTCCAAATTTTAATTTATTTATTCCAATATATAGTAGATGGCGTCCCTCTTTCTTATTATCAGATTTGATATCGATTTGCCTATATAAGATATATATAGATATATATCTATCTATATATATATAAAGAATCAGATTAATCGAATATAAGATATCAATATAATGATGAGGATCATTACTTGATTCCTATTTCCAAGCAAAATCGTCCCTAATTATTGCCGTATTATTTATCGTTATATCAATGGCGACCATAATATTCATCTTAACAACAATCCTAAATTTATTCATGAGAATCTAATCCCGATATTTCTTATTTATTTTACTATTTCAACCAATTAAAAGATATGAAACGAAATATAGAATAATCAATTTTCTATCGACTTCAATATTGATGCGAATAATATCTTGAATATTGCCCGCCACATAATAGAATATTAATATTAGCGGAATCATATCTCAATATTAATAATAATCACTATTCGAATTATAGAAGCATAATTTATTCGCAACGAGTGAAACGCATTCTCTTTTAGAAAATCCCAATTTTGCAATAGAAAATTAATATTTTCTTAAATAAAAAATGAATTTGAAAGAATGAAGTAATTTCTTATTGCTTAATTAGGCTATAATATAAGGGTTTTGAGGCATCTTCGTCTTTAAAATTGGTCATGCGGGCTAAGCCTTCTAAGCATTTTTTAGGTTTGGTCTTTGAGGCTTTCGGATTTGGGGGCTTAAAGTTCAGGACTTTTTCGGTATACCGCCCCCAACCCCGCATAGTATTGAATTAAATACGTGCTCTTATCGATCCAGAACGCAATATCTAATAATTAATTTCTGAATTTGAGAATATAATCGATTATTAAAAATATATTCATATCGATCCTAAACGAATTTCTAATATATTCTATTGAAATATATGATTAATTTCAGCAGATATTAAAAAATATGAAATCCATATATATATATATAAATATAAATATGAATATAAATATATATATATAAGATCTTCAATTTATCATTTAATCAAAAAATAATTCAATAAGATATAGAAAATCACGTATATCAATTAATCTCATATCTAATATAATTTATAGATGATAGATATAATTTATGAATTTCAAGAATATGAAATTTTCCATCTTCAATATCATAGAATAATTTTCTCAGAATCATATCATCGCGTAAATTTAGCTAGCTAGATTTAAATCCTATTATATGAGAGAGAAAAAATTCCGAAATCGATAAAATTCAATATATCATTCGACCCCCCTCTTCCCTCGATCGCCTCTATCCATCGCCTCATTCGATCATCTCAGCCCATCACCCCGGCCTCGCTGCGCTCACTCACCTCACGCGATCCACTTAATCACTCGAAATCTTGCCCAGAGAGTTCCTTCCCTTGCCTGGCCAGATCTGAAAACAGACTGTTTTTCAGAACTGGAGAAATTTCGTAGTATTCTTTGATATCGGGCTCTGCAGACATTGTAAAGATTGAAATTCTGTTCCACAAGAAAACATCCGCTTCACAAGCTGCATGAGCGAATCCAGACTTAGTGGACGGCTTCAAGCCAGAAAGCCCAAATCAAAGAACGAAAGGAACTCCGAAAGAAATTGCCTCATAAAAACAGTATCTATGTAAACCAAGTAAGGAATAACACAGAGCCACTGCCAAAAATCCACAGTCACAAATTCTTTTCCGTCAGCAAGCCATACCTCCATCGATCAAGCGAATCATGGTGGTCAGCCCGAGCTTTTCCACTTGCGCCTCAAGATCGGTACTACCTACTGCGTGCTTTCAGAATACATCACCCTCAGCCCTAAGACGTATGTTGCAGCCGCATGAGTGGTTCAAGTTTGTGGGTGTTGGAGATGCCCTGTGTCGCAAATCCAGAATCCTCAGATCCAGAGGTTGCAGACTTGAGGCACGGTTTAGGGGTTTAGGGCTCCGATACTTCAAGCCTGAATTCGATAGTAGCTGCGGGCTGAAACTATCCTGCAGTCTGCAAGGAGCTTGGGCAGGGTCGTATGCTTCGTTGACTACTTGTGCCATATCTTACTAAAGCAATCCTAGCAGTCCCTATGACATCGTGTCAAGCCCAACTAACGTCCATCAAAACACAGATCTAAACACCAAGAGGGCAGCCCCCCAAGCCATAAACTCTAAACTAAACGAATCCCGCACTGTGAACCTGGATCCCTGAAACCCGCGGGTTCGAGCTCTGAGAAGAAGTCCAGCCTTTGGAGGTGTGGTGTCAGGATTTAAGGGTTCCGGTTTCGGGATTGGGTTTAAGTAAGAATGCCTGAAAGTAAATAAACCCTAAGCTGCCCTAGACCCCCTAATACTCCAAACCCTGAACCCAACAGAAGCCCCACCAACTGAATGGTTGAAACAACCCTCGTGACTAAACCCCACACCGAGCCTCCTAATGCCCTAAATCAAATCCTACAAACGGGAACCTTTAACGGTTTAGGGTTTAGGGGTTTAGGGTTGGGTTTTTTTTTGTTGAGACAGCCTTTTTCCGTCTGCGGGACAGTCGGAGAGCTCCAGTGGAGCAGGCAGCTAACCTCACCCTTGGCTCAGAAGTCACCCTTGGTCACCCTTGCGTTTCGGTACTGTGCTCACCATCAACCTTGCCCTCGGCTTGCTCGTCGCCCTTACACTCACCGGTCACCCCCTGCATTCCGAGCTCATCCGCACCCATTGCAGGCTTCACACCCTCCAGACCGACCTGCGAAGCCTCCTCAAGGACCGCCCCGTTCGACTCGTCCAAAATAGCATCCAGGAGGGTCGCAGCAAGCATCTCGCCATTCGGTTGCCCTCGATCTTGGCGGCCAGGCTCGTCCGTGCTCGCAACCAGCAATTGTGTTTGCATCATGTCCAGGGTTGCAGGCCCATACCGGGACAGGATTGCTTCCTCGCTCTCCGTGCCAGCTTTCCAACGTTCATACACCTCCTGGAAGGCCGGGAAGGAGAGGGGGACTGTGACATCAAGGTCCACTTGCCGGGTCTGCTCCGCCCCTCCATGTGCTTTTCCGGGCTCGCTCCCCGGAGCCTCCATGCTGGCTGGAATCGTTTCCACGTCAGACTCCGACTCCTGCTGGATGCCGATATGGATCTGTTGACCCGGGAGGACTGGAACTTTCCATCGCCTTTCCACCCCCGTGCCTCCATTCGTCACTCCCATGTTCACGTGCACGAACAACCTCTTCCTGTGGTTTTGGGGAGGTTTGTTGTGTTTCTCATCAAAGACCGCCCAGTCGTCCCACTCCCGACTTCGCCGAGCTTCTTCCTCCCCCATGTGAAGTTCCACCGCTTTCTCCACCCCTTTGTAGTACTCGTCTTCGTCCGCTTCGTACCTGGCTTGCATCTCTTCCACGGCTTCATCGTCCCGCCTGGTTTCTCGAGCATCCTCAGCCAGCTGGTTCACAACCCCACAGTCCAGCACCTCGTTGACCGTGTCCAAGCTGCTGGCAGCGAAGGAGCTGGAGACTGAGACAGCCCCGGAAGGCCCGCAGATCATAGGCTGCAGCTTGGACCACCACTGGCTCGCCCACTCCTCGACTTGGTCTGGCTCAGCCAGGAACCCCTGTGCAGAGGCACCACGACCAGACTCAGCCACAGCCACACAGAGCGCCTCTGTTTGATCGATGAGCTCGACATCGAAACCTTTCTGATCCGTCGCAGCCGGGCCCCTATGTTCTCCGCTCGGAGCCGCGCCAGCCCAGGCGATGCGCCTTCTAGCTCATCGCTGCAGATGCTGCGCGAGCCTATAAACTCTCGCCACCTTTTCCGGTTGCACAATTCTCACCCTGCTAAACGCGTACCAGATGACTACTATCATGTACGTCGACTTCCCGTACCCGGTCGGCGCCACAAGGAGATGAGGTCCACCTTCTACAAATGACATTACCGCAGCCCATGCCATGTCGCAGAAGATTTGGTCGAGACCAAATATCCGAGCAACACAGAGGATGAACTTCCTCACGTCCATCTCACTCCTCGTGAGCTTGAATGTCCGAGGCTCATCCTTTGGTGGTGGCAACTCCTTCATGACCGTGATGGCAGGGCATACCCAATTCGTCTTTGATCCCACCACATCCTGGAATATTTCCGGGACCTTTTTCTCGAATGGCTTCGCCTCATATGCCACCGACGACGAACAAAACAGGTGCGGTGCAGCAACCTCCGTCGGAGAGAGCAAGCACTGGCTCATCAGCGACGACGCGTTCTCCAAAACGACGACTGCAGACAGCCGATTCAAGATTGACGACATGTGCGACGTCGCATCAGACGCATCGCCTGCACCAACCTCAAGCATCAAATCATCGATCTCCTCACGAGACATGACATGTCCTTCTTCTCCCCAGTCTTCCTCAGGAGTGACGTGAGGTTCCCTGACTCTGCCTCACTCGCTGCGGGATATAGCTTCATCCCAGCGTGGTAGACGTACACAGATGGGTAGAGCGCAGCCTGCAATGTCGCCAAATTGAGGCTCACATGTTCGGACCCTGTTCATCCCGTCCACGACGGACTTGATAGGCGACGGGCGATGTAGCTCATGATGTGGACAATCCACCCGATGGCAGCAATGCTCCACCTTTGGGAAGAATCGCCTCAAAAAGCACTTCTCGTCAGTGCATGGATGCCTGAGGAATCCTTCCAAATCCTCCTTCATGATCTCCTCGAGCGCATCACTGCACGACTGTGCGAGGTCCTGTATCAACTGCGACCTCTCCGCCACATTCTTCGCTTTGATGAGTACTCTCGGATCAAGAGCAACCGGTGGCGACAATGGGTCTTCAAGCCTTTTCAAGACCACGCCAATGCTTATCTCGCCAGCATATATCCGGACTCCTTAGTATTTGCGGGAAGTGAGGCCTTGCCATTCATAGGCTTCTTCGTCCTATACGCGGCAAGCGCACAGCCGCCAGTGTGCTTCATCCCCCTCTTCGCGGCCGGAGGGATCTGCTTCGATACCTCACAGATGCCAGCAAGCAACACCTTGGTCATGCAATGCTCCATCTCCGTAAACCAAAGTGAGAACAGCTCACCCTTTGACGGTACGCGGTCTGCACTCCCAAGGCTGTCTCTTGGAGCAATCTCACCTGGCGGCTGTTTTCAATCCTCTTCCGGGAGCTCCCATAAGTCCGTGACGTCTGAGTACTTATACTTCCCCATGTGATGCGCCACATACTTCTTATTCTCGTCTGTGCGTCTCTCGGCGGCCAAGTTTGCGGCCGACTTCAGCCTCGTCACCCTCGAGGCCGCAGTGAGCGCCCGACCCTTCTCTAAGTCTTGTATGTCAATGGCTCTCTGTCGCATCAGCTCATACTCTTGGACGTGCTCCTTTGAGCGAGGGTCTCCGGTTGCTAGGAAAGTGCGAAGATATCTTTCAAGACTATACTCGTCCTCATACCGATCATCCAGCGCAATTGCAGAAAACACAAATGCAGCATCTCTCCATTCCTGAAGATATTTCCCTTCTTCTGCAAGCGCCCTATCAAGCGACCACTTCGTCCCAAGAGAGTATTCAAGAAAGCCTCCATACACGGCCGAGTGCGTCTCGAATACTAGGCACACCTGATGACCGTCGTAATCGCCATCCTTTTGTGGCACGACCTTCTCACAATGAACCCTCCAGTAGCCTGGATGCCTAGGCCCTGGTCTCCCGTCCGCCCACATCACTGGATTGACGTGAGAAAGAAGTGAGATGGCCTGTGGGCCTGTGAACAATAGATCGTCGTAGCGAAACATAAGGATGGGGATCCCACACTTCATCATGAATGCCTCCTCGACCGGGAAGTCCCCAGAAGGTCTCCTCTGGATATTCTCAAGGAGGTCCCTCCATCTATTTGTAGAGAACGCCTCCTCCGGTGTGTCAAATGACTTCGTAGTGATAATGTCATGCGCCAGACAGCGTGCAGCTGCCCCGCACATCACCGCGAATTTCTCCACATCGATTCCAGCGACCTTGCCACTGTGCGGTATCACTCCAGAAGTTCTCCCCTTCCGTTCATGATCACGTGGTGCTATTGGCAAGATCACACCCTCAATGGGGAAGCCACCGATCGAATACGTGCACTTGTCAGGGTTGGGTTTAGGGTTTAGGGTTCCGGAATGTTGGAGCCTGAGTGAACCCCCGCCCCGATCCTTAAACCCTAAACTGTAGGGACCCTTAGGGAAAACTACAAACAGACCTATAGTCTCCATTGTAGTTCCTCTGCCTGGTTAACCAAAATCCCTATTATGGGGTCCTAACCATAGAGCTGGTTAACCAAAAAAGTGAGACCTTAACAAGCATAACAAAGCTTTGCGCCATAGTAGATTAATACTATGATTGTCTTGTGGAACCCTAAGGAAGGGTATTGGTAATTCTGAATAGTTCATGCCCTTATAATGATGGGAGGCCAAAAGGGGGGTTTAAGATTCTTGGGGTAGGGATTCCTTAATATAAACCCTATTATGGGAACCCTAACCCCTACTAAACCCCCATAGGCTAAAGCCCCTTGCTAAAGCCTCCTATGATATAAAGTTCAGGTCACCGGGCAACCGAAAGATAATTAAACTTAACCCCAAAACCCAAAACCAGAATTCCAAAAACCCTACACCCTAAATCCCAAAACCCTAAACCAGAATTCCCAAAACCCTACACCCTAAATCCCAAAACCCTGAATTTAAGAACTACGCCCTAAACCCCAAACCCTGAAACCTGAACCCTAGACTCCCCAAACTCCAACTCCTCAACCCAGAACTTTCACTAGAAGCACCTCGGAGCTCCCTAAACCTTAAACCCCTAAACCCTAAACCCTAAACCCCTAAACCCTAAATCCCAAAACCCTGAATTTAAGAAGCACCTCGGAGCTCACGGCTACAAGCACCGTAGAGTGTCCGAACCAGTCAGACAGGATCGCCTCCGGCTTCGTTGCTTGATGACTGTATAGGGCTTTGGGGCTTAGGGGTTTAGTGCCTTTGGGGTTTAGGGGTTTAGGGGTTTAGGGTTTAGGGTTTAGGGTTTTGGGTTTAGGGTTTAGGGTTTGGGGTTTTGGGTTTAGGGTTTAGGGTTTGGGGCTTAAAGGGAACTCCAGAAAGTTGGAATATGGTTTCAGGGTAGGATACCCGATAATTTACCATAAAGGGTTTAGGAGAATCATATTCCAACTTTCTGGCTTTTACTTTAGGAGTTAGGGCTAGAGAAGGGATCCCTGAAGAGATCTGTTAGGATCTATAAGGCTGCTAACCCTAAACCCTAAACTATCATGGGGGTTTAGGATTGGGAGTTAGGATTAAGGGGATTGTTGGGGATTTTGAGCCACTCACTAAGGTCCCATTTAAGAGGGCCAGAAGTAGGGTCAGGAAAGGTCGCCCGTAAGCGGCCTCCGTGATACTGCCTAGGAGGCTCATGCGATTTGGGTCACCCAAGTTTGAATATAAGAGAGTAGAGAGGCCGCAAACATTAACAGATAGTTCTCCAGTAAAATGCATATTTAAACTTAGCCCCAAATGCCAAACTTAGGTGTGGTCTCAATCAGATTCGCCAGATTGCTTGGCGAGTCCGAGGCTTAGAAAAACATATGGATACTTCTCTTCCTTATACAAAAGAGCCTGAAAGGGACCCTAATACAATCAGAGAACTAGTCATGGATGGCAAGGGCGTTCATGCTGGTATAGTCTGAAGAGTCCAATCTGGGTTTAGGTTCGTAGGAAATTGCAGTCACGATGTCGGAGATTGCAGCCCGGTTCTTTAGTTGTGCCTCGGATGGCATGACTAACCAGTGGTTTTGGGGGTTCCATGGCTCTTTAGCTCCTTATTTAATGGGGATTATCATCATCCCTGGCTCCTTAATAGCTCCTCCAATATCAATGGTTAGATGATGCAGGCGAACAGAATGAGAAGAGTGTGTTCTGTCCGCCTCAATCTCCAAAACGAGCTTGGTCATGTAGTGGTGGGCGCTCAGTAGAACATCAAAACGATATGTGGGGTTTGGGGTTCAGTGCGGGACGATAGATGCACAGTATAACTTGAAGAATATAGGGGCAACAATAGTTAGAATAGGGTTAATTTTGGTGCCCATTATACTATGACTATGAAAAGGAACACCCCAAAATAAAGACCCCTATTTTAGTCGATCGATGTGGCTCCAAACCTTTGATTGGTTCGTTCCTGCTGTTATGGATTATGGATTATGGATCATGTCGGCTACGGTGTACGGGTTTAGGGTTTAGGGCGTAAGGGACTTGGTGGCATAAGACCAGCCACAGGGCATGAGAGTTATGCTTTTCGGACGTGGGATCTAGGGACCGTCGCCTTTGCACCCCATACCCTGAACAGGGTTTGGGAATCTGATTTGGTTTAGCTCTTGGGTCTGGGATTGAGCCAGCACTCCAAGTCCTAAACCCCACAACCCCCTTTTTCTCCCCAAGCACGTGACCCTGCCACAGACTGGCCCAGAATGCGACAACCCAAAAACCCCCCCGAACTCGAGGTGAAACAACCCTGTACGAAACCCTAAACCCCATGAAATGTGCTTTTGGTGTTACTTTTGTACAACCTTCACCCTAAACCTTCAGAGAGCGATGCCTTCAGCATCTGAGAAGTAGTCGGACTCTTGATCTCGGCACATCGTTACGGAGTGTAAGGCTTTAGCGCTTAGGGCTTTGGGCTCCGGGTTTAGGGCTTAGGGCTCACGGTTTAGGCACGGAAGTGGAAGCTTCATGGTTCCTTGAAGGATCCCTTTTAGGCTTGACTACTTCAAGGTTCCTAGAAGGCTTCCTTGGGCTGCTTCAAGGTTCCTATATCAGCCCTATCTCTCCACTAGTTATTTCGGACTTTCCTTACCCCAAGGGTCCAAGTACCTAATAATCGTATACTCTCCAAAATTCTAACCTACATAACTGGTATCAAAAAACCGAGTACCTGATTATTGGGTCCTTTGGACCCTTGGGGTTAAGGTCTATAGGGTTCACGGCGTAGGGCCTCAGAGTGTACGGCTTTAGAATTAGGGCTCGGGGTCTTCTTCCTAATCCTTAACGACTCTGAAGGGTGAGGCGTAAGGGCCCGACAGCCCCAAACGACACCAAATCCAACTTTGGAGTTCTGACGACACTTACAAATTAGGTTATCAGAAACCATTTGAACGAATCTAGCGCTGTAGCTTCTGGCGCCTGAAGGCTTGGGTAATTAAGGGTTAGTGTTCAGGGCTTTCCCCTCAATGCTTGTCGGTTTAGTTAATTCGGGCCTAGGGTTTAAGGTTGTTCTTATGGCTTTCGGGCTGGCCACGCAGCTCCGGATGACATGACAATACCCATCAAATGCAGGGCTTGTAAGCTTCGTGCTGCTTAGTGTTTGGAGTTTGGCGGCTTCTTCTAGTACACCCTCAAGCCCTAAACCCTAAAGTCTAAACCCTAAAACCTAAACCCTAAGCCCTAAACCCAGCTAAGTTAGACCCGGAACCTTGAACCCGAAGTGCAGTGCACACCACGAAGACCCGACAAGTCCACGATTTCTGCCGTAGGCTTCCGACAGTCCGAACTACTCCTACTACTCCTACTACTCCTGCTGCTACTACTACTGCTTCTTGTGCGACTACGACGACGACGACAACAACTACTACTAGCTACAAGGGACTTAAGAATTTCCATGATGGCCGTTGAGAATTTAGGGAGTTAGGGCTCAGGGCTTTATAAGCAGTTGATGGCTGCTTTCAAGCTCTGTCTCTCTCTCTCTCTCTGAATATGTATTTGTATATATATATATATGTCTTTATATATATATATATGTGTGTGTGTATGTACACGTATCGGTCCATCGAACCATCCATCCATCCATCTCTAGATAGGCTTCTCTTCCAAACGTCCACGTCTTAGTCAAGATGCCGGTAAGCAAGTACCATATAATCAGAGATGGGAAACCCCCAACCACAAACCTTGACCACCTTCCAATAAAGGCAAGTACAACAACTGGGCTGGGCGATCTATTGTAAATGTACAAGGGGGCTACGCGGATGCTAGGACCGAGCATTCAAACCTTTAACGACTCCACACATCTGAACTTGAGTGAACCGAGAGCGAAAGCAGACTTGAACCTGCATGGTCAAGGGTTAAAAGGTTTAGGTTTTAGGGGGCCTCTGACATAAAGCTGCTCGAGTTGTAACTGTGTCGCAGACTCTAAACCGGTGTGACTTCAAGTTGTACTTATTGCTCAGGCTTATGCTAAATCAGGCTCTCAGAGGGCTTAGGGTTTCCACCCCAGCACCGACGCACAACTTCGGGCTCCTTTTCGCTGAAAAACGATCGACCCCACAGCAGTGAGGATGTCGAGCCACGCATGGCCGGCAAGGCATGTGCAGCTTGCAACAACCCCTGAAACCCTAAACTGTCAAGCGTTTAAAGGTTTAGGGGGCCCTCGGCCGGAGTTCGTGGAACACGGAACATTTTGAGGGTGCTTCTGAGGGTTCAAGAGTTGGAATGTTAATTCTACAAAGATGTTATGCGGGCTTGACGGAGTCTTATAGGGGGGATGAGGGGTCTAGGGTGATGCATCCTTTGCACGCCAAGCTTCGGAATCAGACGGCCCGAAAGAGCAGAACTTATCAAAGCTACTTGCAAGTATTCCTTCAGCTGTGTCTGTAATGCCTTTGTCACTGCCAGGGCGATATGAAGAATACAAAGATGATGACCATTCGTCCAATGTTTGCTTCTTACTTGCTGCTGCTGTGCTTGTGCACAAAAGTTATGGTTATTTTGACTATTGTTGCCGCTCTTGGTGCTCTCTTATTCGGATTGATTTGAAAGTTGCCTCTCCGTCTTGCTGAAGTCTTTCGTGGGTGTCAACCCGTAAACTAAACCCCAGAATTACAACCCTAAACCCTTATATAGGGGTCGGAATTATTCCCATTCCTCCGGATCCCTTGACATAGCTCTACACCAACATACCCCAAAACCCTAATTGTGAAGGCTCCTACATTAAATCGTCTATGCCTACCAGCACCGGACCTTATCTCTGAAAGACTGACAGGCACGAAAGCCTCATAATCTCTGCTGGATGACCGCTTGTTCTTCGCAGATGTCTGACCCAAAACCTTAAACCCTAAACCTAGCTGATACCTATGGGATGGGCCCTGATCTGCAGTTTCCGGGCCAGGTGCTTCACGTTTAGGTTTAAGGTTTAGGGCTTAGGGTTTCAGGTTCAGATATTAGGGATTGCTTCCGTAGGATTTAGGGTTTAGGGGCTAAGGGTTTAGGTTTTAGGGAGGATTGAAGGCAAGTTTGGGATTCAGGGAGTATCTGCAGGCTGCATTTTGGTCACGGTCTTGGCCGCACTCAGCGAGAGGAGGCTTCAGATGTATCCGTACCTGACGGGCAGCAAGGGTTGGAGGATGAGGATGCCCCGTGACTTGGTGTTATTTCAGGGTTTAAGCTTGAGGATTCAGGGATTTAGGCAATGAGGGTTTGGGGGTAACGACGGTAAGGAGTTTAGGGTTCGGGGGTATCGCGAAGAAGCGTGCTGCCCGTGCCAAGCTGCTCGAGGTAAAGAAAACTGCCCTCGTCGTCAAGAGAGGCGCCTGGAAAGGAGTGCTGCTGGGCTCCAGCCCGATGCTGGTGGACTCTCCCGATTGTTACGAGGAGCACTGCAGCGCGGCCGCGCGAAAGGGCGAGGTCCTTGCCATGGACTGAAAGGCCGAGGTGCCTCATCGAACAGATGTCGCTTCTCTGCATCGCTGAGCACTGCGTGGGGATTCCGAACATCAGCCCCCGGGTCTGCAAAAAGGCCATCGTCGGGATCAGGGATCACCGGGATCATGGGCATACGATGACTCAGCTGATGTTCACGAGATACTTGCGCCCCTGGGGCGTCGGCACCTTGGGTTTAAAGGTCAAAGGCAAAGCTGGGTTCGTCTTGAGGAACTGCATTTCAATTGCCTAGTTAAACTTAGTTAAACCATGTAATGATTGCATATCAGTTGCTTACTACATAGTACGGACTATGTTGGTAAAGAAAGAGTACGATCCTGAACAAGAGCTGCGACAATTACTGTACATAGCCCGAACCTTTGTCATGCAATCGTCCACAGAGGTAAGAACCATAATCCACCCGAGCCCCGTGGCAAAATGAGTCCGCAGTTTATCCCCGATGCTGACCCTAAACCCTAAACCCTAAAACGAGCTCCATCCTGCCGCCCAAACCCGAAATCCTCAGTCATTTTAGGGCTTGGGGTTTAGGGTTTTAGCGTTTATGGTTTTTTAGTTTTAGGGGTTAGGGCTTAGGGGTTTTAGGATGGAGGGTTTAGCGTTCAGGGTGTTTGCGATCGGAGTTTAGGTTTTAGGGTTTAGGGTTGAGGTCAGAAGAGTGTTGCCGTTCTTCTTAATGCGTGCTGGTTCCGTAAAGCTGCAGCTCACTGTTGCAGGGCCTGTGTCAGCAGGTAATAATGATGAAACACTAACCTCATCGCTGGGTCCTTTGGACCCGAGGCCGCGTGCCGCAACAGTGAATAAAGGTCTCAAGTGCAAAACCCTGACATAACGGCCTGAATTCATTGTTCGAACAGGGTTTTGTGGGACTATATAATATAGCTGGTGTACGGAACCCTAAAGCATGATATCGATTAGTAAATATTCAAGCTCCGACTTGACCCAAAACCCGTAAGCCTTTGAGACTACCTTAAACGACCATCGGTGGCAGAGGGTAGGGTATAGCAAGGTTAGACCACTCCAATGCCGCCCGATTGCTAACCAGCTTGTCTCTAAAGCGAATGGCTCCAGTAGTAGTATGCCCATCAATAACTAGGTGGGGCTTTTAAAGCCTTCGAAAAATATTAGTAAATAAGATCCTCTTAAACCCAATAAGGGAAAATATAAAATGACCCAAAGCCCTACCTAGATAAGCATTTTGGGGGCCCTGTTATATTCCTTTTATACCACTATTACAGGGTGGGGGCCGGCCCCTTCTAAGGTATTCAGCCCCGAAGTCCGGGCCGAGGGTACTTTTCCTGGTACTCCTTGAAGCGACTGTTCAGAACGCGTGCCTGAGCCATACTACTAGGAGTCTTAATAATTCGAATAGGGCTTTGGAATATTTTGTACAATAACCATATCCCTGAACCCTAAACCCTAAACCCTGAAATCTACGATAAGGAACCCCCGAAGTAGTATGTAAGGCCCCGATATTAGGGGAAGTTTCGGGTTGAGGACTTGGTGCCCGTTGCGAGGGCGTTCTCAAGTGGGGGGGGGGAGGTCAAGGGTTTGTGTAAGGATTTAGGGGTTTACGGCAGTTTAGGGGTTTAATTCAGTTTAGGGGTTTAGGGTTTAGGGGTTTAGGGTTTTCGGTTTAGGGTTTAAGGAATCATTAATGCGCAAGGACGAGTCTGTGGCGAGCCCCAGAAAGTTGGAACATGGAATAGGGATGTCGAGTGCTAGGGTGCCCTGTGCGTTATTACTACTTTGAGGACGTAACGGTAGTGATGTTCCAAATTCCTGGTCACTCCTACTGTTCGTAAAGCATTGATTGCTCGAGTAGAGTAGAGGAGCATCTTACAGGTGCCCCAGTGAGTTGAAAAGGGTATTCGCGTATACTGTGGTGTCAGTATAAATCAGTATTTAAGGGTTTAGGGTCTT